CCCGCGCCCCATGCTGTTCCTGCTGGGAAAGGAGAAGAGAATTCACGTAATTGATGGATTTGAAAATAAACTGGGATGCTCAGCTCAACTCCTGCTTTTTGCCTCTTGGGGTGACGGGACTGGGCACATGGGAATGAAAATCCTGCCCTGTTCCTTCTTGGCATGTGTCTGACCTGGGTGCCACAGCCGAGCCCACATGGGAGGCCCCGGGCTGACACGCCGCAGGGGTGCGGCATTGCCTGCGGCTGGGTGGGTGAGTCTGTCCGATGCCGGGGTTATTAGAAAGTCCATTTGCACACAGATATGAGTTACACTCTTCAACCTCGTTTTTATCACAGTTTAATTCCTTTGACTCATTTCTTAACTCAGAACTCAAGTGAAGGGAAAGGCTGGTTTTTTTATTGGGCCCTTGCAAAATCCCCACAAAAAGATCAGGAAAACTAATGCCACAAGCCACTCAGAATGGAGGGGAGAAAAAAAAAAGCCTGAATTTTCTGGCTATTAAGACAACAGAGAAAACGTGACCCGGGTATCAGATACAACTAGAGGCTACTCGGCACTCACACTACCCTTCCTTCCCTTGCCTTCTTCTCCCATCCAGACTGGAAAACTTAAAGCTGGCCTTCCCCAAAATCACGTTAGCCAGAAAAGACTAGGGGACTCCATGCTGGTCCATGGGACATCGTTGAGAGTAGGTGGCCATGGTGGTGAAATTGGGGATACCACAGAACCCCTCCAACTTCAAAAGAGCTTTTATTATGTTACATAGGGCACAAATACATGTTACATAAATGTTTATACATTAAAGAAAAATGGTTGGTCATCAATGGTCGACATGCAGAAAGCACTGGCATCAAAACCTTGGATTCTCAGAAAGTTCAATTAATCAGAATATAACACCACAGCTGATCCACATTTTCCTGTACAATGATTCTAAGGAGTGATTTCCTACAAATGTTCCTTGTTTTCCAATTATAAAAAGATATATTTGTGGGTTTTCATACTCAGAAAGAGTAAATTCTCACTTTCTCCCTCCTCTGCCCACTCTCAAGGGTGAATTTGAACGCTTATACACAGGTAATCCCATTTAGTCCACAAAAGATTACAGTGATGAAAACAAATGTAATAATTCTCATGTAGAAAGTGAGGCTGGGAGAGGTTAAGGGATTGGTCCGAAGTCTCACAACCAGTCATTGGTAGAGCCAGACTGCAGTACAGCTCTGTCTCCTCCAGTGCTCTTTCTGAGACACTGCCTATTCCGACCCTTCCTGGGGGTGTGAAGGCAGGGCCGACACACCCAGGGGTGTGCCCCCACACTGCTGGGCCCTTGGCTGGCCCACGCCCATCATCGCTTATCCTGAATATCACCCAATCAATGTTGGAGCTTTCTATTCTAGAAGTACGTTCCCCCCCACCTTTTCCCAGCCAGTTAGCCACTCTTTCTCTTTGTCCTCTTGATTCATGAATTTCTTGTCCCCAGAAGATCACATTTTCTCTCTCCTTGAGATACAATTACAAACCACGGTGTCAGTGCTAACCGTAGCTCTTAATACCTACAAAGCTTTCTCTGTGCTCTTGGTCAACACTAAATCTCTCTCAATGCAGAAGGAGTTTAGTATTTAGTGGATATAAATAAAGGCTGCTGTATCTCATCTATAACCACATCCTTCTACAGTTAAAGCTGCCAGAATGGTAATATTGCACTTGCAAAAGATTAAGATATACATTTACACTCCATTTCAATGGTTTTAACATTAATTGATATATTTGTTTCTGCCTGCGATTACTAACCTACCTTTTTTTTTTTTTTGTCTTCTGTGGTTGTAATGAGAAGTTAGAAAGGCTGAAAAAAGGTTAAGAGAGGGGTACATAGTGAAAAGGATAATCTAAAAGAATAGCTTTGTGAAAAGTACCAAAGATATGTAACTAGTTGTTTATTAGGAAAAAAATCCACATCGTAATAGGTTAACACCACTCATGTTCTAAGAATATAGTGAGCCCTCTCATTTGAATCTGTATAGAACCTACTTCTTAAATGGTTTCGAGAATGGTATTTTGGTAACTCTAGGCCAGTTCTGCATCCTTTGCATCATTCTGAGAACTCTGCTGCACACGGTATGATCTTTGGTTTCAGTTGGCTGTCAGAAACTTTTGCCAAAGGACATGCATCATGGAGGGAAGCTCAAGGGCTCTGGAGTCGGACAGGCATTGGTGTGAAGCCTAGAAGCAATCACTGAAACTCTCCGAGCCTCATTTTCCTCATGCATAAAATAGAAAAACCAAGTCCCATATCATAAGGCCATTGGGAATACTAAATAAAACAATCCATGGAAGATTCCTGGAACTCAAACCACTGGAGCTTTCACTGAGATCCATTTAATATGAAGCAGAATTCTCATAATTTTCCTAAAGCATGCATCAAAATTTTTTCCCAAAAATATTATTAGTCAATATCTAAAAAGAAGAGGAGGAGAAAGAAGAGGAGGAGAGGAGAAAGAGGAGAGGAAGAGGAGGAGGAGAAGGAGGAAGGTGAGGGGGAAAAGCAATCACTATTTGCATAACTTCCTTCCTCTGGCACGTGTTCACACCCCTACCTTCAATTGTCAATATTTCTTCATTACACTGAAAGCGCCTCAGGTGCTGGAACTAGGTCTATTACGGGTCTTTCTCAAAGTAGCACAGTGCCCAGCACAGAATAAGGGCTCAACATCTTACTTGCTGTTTTTCTTCTTCGTGAGCAACCACTACCAGAAAAGTTAAATCTCGGGACTCTTACTAGTAGACGTTTATTGTGTAGGGCTCTGCTTGTGTTTTTGATGAAAGAAATTTGCGTCACTGATACCCAGAAGTGGGGTGGAAGGGAGAGACAAGCTTTCAAAGTAGGTAGAAGCAAAGATCAGCACGAACATGGGGACAGGTTCAGAGTCAAGGTATCGCTCTGAAGATAACTTATTATTTCAGAGGGAGAAATGTATCTTCACAACGGAAATACCCAGCAATCACCCCTTCAACCAAGTGATTAAACATTGCAGCATCAATCAATGAATGACCAGGTGCATGTAATATAAAACACACAGCATCAGCCATGAAGGAGTCTGACCAAAAAGGTTTTGTCTGTGTCCGGTCAAACCTTCACACTGAACTTCCAGCATGCAAGAAATATGTGGAATGGAGGAACGAAGTAAGTGGCACCATGAGGAAGTAATTAGATAAATCTAGAATGTGGAACATTCCACAAATTAACTAGCCTTGTCCCTTCAAAAGCCTATGTGATGGAAAAAGAAAAAAGTTGAAGCACTCCCTGTTCTAGATTATAAAATGCTAATGAGCCTAATGCAATGTATGAGTGCATCCTGATTAACTCCTGGCTTGAAATAAATGATTATCAACTTTCTTAGGATGTTAAAACCCCTGCAGTTATGTAAAAGAAAGTCCTTAATTCAATTTTTTCTATGCTTAAAAATTCATCATAGTAAATGTTAGAAAATATGCAGGCAAAGTAACAAACAAACTGTCCCCCTCTCCCTAAATGGAAATTTCTTTCTCTTGCATTTAATAATAAAAATGAATTAGAAAACTCTTGTGTTAATGCATTTGGGCCAGTTACTGGGAACTATAAATGGCTCAGACACCATCAGAACAGATTCTGGTGACAGTAGCTGTACTGTGGAAAAAGCACAGCCCTCTTAATTGGGTATCATTTTCACTGTGCTTTGAAACCTTATTATTCCCACACCAAGGACCCTATCAGCATAATAGCTAATAAATTGTTAAATGTGCCCCATATTTGCTGATTTATCATTTTTGTATAAAGTAAAATCTTTTATCTTCTTTTTATTGGACTCAAGTAGAGAAACATAGAAAAACAAATATTACGTCCAGCATAACTGCTACTCATCCCTTCCAAGGGTTCAAACCCACCCATTAGAAGTTCAGCTTTGGCCCTGGCCAGGTAGTTTTGGCCCTGACACTCAGTTGATTAGCGTTTCGCCCCAATACGCCAAGGTTGCAGGTTTGATCTCTAGCCAGGGTACATACAAAAAGCATCCAATGAATACATAAATAAATGGAACAACATCTCTCTCTCTCTCTCTTCCTCTCTCTCTCTCAAATCAATAAATAAAAAATAAAAAAATAAAGAAAGGAATAAGTTCAGTTGTGAAGGGGGAGCTAGTACCGGGAGGTGCTGACAACCACACAGCTCTCTGGGAGCTACCTTTTCCTACCAGCTGCAATGGCTGCCTGGCCTCACATGAGAACCCTGTGCTTAACCCAAGCACCCCTGTCCACAGGAGCTCATTCATGCAAGTCCACCCACCCAGTCCAAGAGCCACTGCTTTTCAGAAAGTAATAAGGGATCCTGCTCCTAAGTCCATTTAATTGAGGGTCTTCAACCAGCAATCAAAAATAGCTTTTGACAAACTCCACAACTCGTAGTGTTGCTTCTACATAAAGATAACCTAGTTATATAGTATCACTCAAGTTTGTGTAAGTGATGCAGGTGATACGTAAGAAATGCAAGTATGGAGGCAATGAGGTATGTTTTTTGTAGTCTGGGTACTTCACCACCTGAGCTGCTGGGGGCAGGAGAGAGAAGCAGGACCTTCACTCCACACACCAGCTACTTCTATTCCTTCCAGAACCTTTCTAGAAGGACAGTTATCTAAAGGTAAACTTGATAGGTTAGAGCTTTTCCAAAGATACACGGCTGGAGAGAGAGACTACTTTATAGTTAAATTTTGTTATGACTTGGGGAAAAATGTATAAACTGAGAGTCTGAAAACTAGTTCAAGCAGCTCTCAACTTTTTGATTCTCTCCCAAACTTAAACACACCACCCTAAAACAAAAAGGTAAATAAACTAAAACTTAGTGATTGTAATACATATGTAATATATTGTATATAGATAAATATACATAAAATCTCCAGGAAAATGTGAAAGAAAGTGTTCTCTTTTTGATTTTTGACTTCTCACTTATTTGAGAGGACAGGAAGTCTTACCTAGATACAAGGATGCGTTTTCTTTCTTGACATTGTCATCTAAGTAGGTTGGTCCCAGGGTATAAATAGGTGTGGAGCCCATTCCAATAAGAATCTGTGCGCAAACGAATAAAGCCACATAGACCCAGTGATTATTTCCTCCCGGGTCCTTCAGGCAGGCAGGAGGCTCCAAAGTCCCTGTGGAGTTGCCGTTCTGACACAGGCCATCATTGGAGGCCGAGGCATTCAACTCCTGGATCTGGTAGGGAGGCGAGATGAAGTGTGGTAAGGCGAAGAGGGCGGCCCCGATGGCAATGAGCAGCCCACCCACGGCCAGCCACAGGGGCCGCCGACCCCGGCCACCAAAGTAGCTGACAAACACCACCACCACCAGGCTTCCGATGTCAAAACAGCTAACCAGGAGCCCTGACTCAGAACTTTTCAGACTGTAGCGCCTTTCGATGGTGGTGATGACGCTGCTCAGATACCCCGAGACCATTAACGCCTGGATGAAGGTCAGAAAGCACATGCAAACCAGGAAGCAACGGGAATCAGTGAGGACCACATAGAGACACCTTCTTCCCTGAAGCGTGGCCAAAGTGGAGGACACCGACATGGCTTTGCAGACATCCACTCTGTGGTTGCAGTCCACGAGCCCCGCCATCTCTGTGGAAGTGGACGGGGCGGAGAGGCTGGGGGCCAACCTGCTCAGGCCCTGTTTCAACTCCTGGTGGCCCGAAGAATCTGTACAGCCTGACTTGGCACCTACACTAGCAGGGTTGAGATCTGGCCGACAGGAGGTGCTGTTCAGGGCGGGTAAACTCTTGGATCTAAAGGTCTCTGGTTCACATTTCTGTTGGACAGCTCCTACTGTGGCCCGGGCTTCGAGCTGCCCTCCCGCCTGGGGCTGCAGCCCAGTGCCCCCATCCATGGCTCTTAGAATTCAAATTCGATCGTTGATCGCATTCAAGGACTCCGGAGCTTTTCATCCACCAGCACTAAGGGCCGAAGTCAGGCCCACGCAGTCGTGCCCACCAGGGACCGGGGCTGGGGGATCCAGAGCCGCGCAGCAGGACATCCTCACAAGCAGGGAGGCGCCCAGGGCATCCTGACCGCAGACTCGGCCCCGAGGCTCCGGCTCCGCAGCCTAGTGCCCCGGGGGGCAGGGGTCCTCGCGGTCCTGTGATGAGCTCTGCTCGGGGTCCACCTCGGGGCGGCAGCTTGCAGAAGGAGCCTTGAGCGTCCCGGGCGCATCCCCTCCGCCGCCGCTCGGCAGGCCGCCCGGAGCAAGAACGCCGGGTGCCCAGCGTGGGGCGCTTAGCGCTGATGCCTGCGCTGCATCCCGCCCTTCTGGCTGGGCCAGAGGCGTGCTGTCCTCGCCGCCTCGGCTGGCGACACCCTCGGGCGCAAAGATGCCAACCTGTAAAACAAACAAACAAACAAAAAAAGGGTGGTCAGCGAAGGGCGTCTGAGGTTAGGACTGGCGTCCCAGCGCCCCAGGGACCAGCGCTGAATGACTCGGACGTTCCCAAGTGGGACTGAGTGATCAGCGAGGAGCGAAGCCCTGCAGAAGGAGGCGACTGCAGGCCTCTCGTGCGGTCGGCAGAGACCCTCCCTCATTGTCTACCGAGGACCTGCCCCCACCCCGCCCCTCTTGCCTTTAAACTGTGCATCTGCTTTTATATGTTATTAATTATCAACCTGGCTGCTCTGACTCAGAGGCAGTGTCTTCTATTCAAGTGAACTAATTGCAACCTTTTGGTACTCCCACTCCATTACTCGAAATAGAAAATGCCCTAAAGAACAAAGGAAAGTTTTTTTTTAAATAAACACAATGCCTTCCCAGTCCCAATTTTCAAAAAGAAAAGGGGAAGCTACATGTGTAGAAACGCGTACACACTTGTGCGCAGGCACGTGTGCGACTGGATATGAATCCGACTGCTCCATTAATTAGAAACACGTACTCAAAGCCCAAGGCAGCCGCAAAAAGGTCAACGTGCTTGCCTCTTTATTCCCAACACTAAAAATAACCCCCCCGCGCTAAAGAACTATTCAATGACAAATACCAGGAGCGTTTGAGGCCGCGGCCCACACCAAGTCCCAGCGCCCAGTGTCAAGCGAAACCGAAAATCAATTTGCCCTACAGATGGGTGGGGAAGCCACAGCCAAACAAAGAGATGCGGGCACGGGAGCCCACGGAGCAGTCCTGGCACGACGCGGCCGGCAAAGAGGCGTGCTATTTACACCGAGCGCACCCCGCGAGGGTGGGCCCGGGGTGCGCGCGCAAGAGAGGAGAGAGGAGAGAGGAGACAGCGCGCGCACACACGCGCACACACACAGACACACCGGCGTGTATTTGTAGAAACCCCTCACGCGATCCCGCACCAGGTTGAATTCAGCGAGAGCCGAAAACAGGTGTGTCCCCGGAGTAAACCCCCGTCCCTAACCTCAGGGACTCCCATTCCATTCTTCCAGCCTGGGGGTAGGCGCACCAGGTGGGAAAGGAAAGCAGGACTGCGCTGCATTGGGTTTTTCATTCTGCAGAGCGCTTTTGTGATGCTGCCGAGACAAGAAAGGAAGAAGGGGAAGAGAGAGAAGAGGCTGAGCGGACAGGGGCGGCCTCTCCGGCATCTGCCTCGGCACTTCTGGGCAGACCCGCTCCCAGACTCCCTGCCTGCCAGCAGCTCACAGCCAGGACTTCCCCACCGCCTACCAGCCCAGGCGCCTTCCCGGGAAACCCCACCGGCGGCCGCGCCGAGCCCGGGAATCCCCACGAACAGCCTCCAGCACGAGGGGCGTCAGGGCCCCTGCCCAGGAGGCACCCACAACTCAGCGCAGACTCAAATGGACGGGGAGCTCTCGGAGCCGACTTGAAATCCCAGGAACACCTCCTGCGCGCACCCCTACCCCTCCCCACCCCCGCCCACACACAAAGCCCTCTCCGGAGACTGGACCGCCGGGAACAGCTCGCAGCGCTGCGGGGGCGCACAAGCCGCAGCTACTCACTCTGGAGTCTGTCGGTCAGTCTAGCTTGTTGAGAGTGCAACCGGGAGAGGCGTGGACTGGGTCGGTAAGAGAGTATTTGGGAGCTACCTGGGGAGGTAGCATCGGTCCAGCCGCCGAGAAATCAGTGAATGAGTCTGACTCAGGCTGAACTCTTCCCCCACGCCTTGCCTGTCACCCAAGCCTCTCTTCCTCTCCAAACAGACACGCGCGCACAGAGACGCGCCGGGAGCGGAGCGGCAGAGGGCGCAGGCGCGCGGGTGGCCGCCCAGCCCAGCCCTAAGGCAGTGAGCCACCCAGCTGCCCTTCACCTGCGCGACAAAGGGAGAGGAGCCCTGACACCTCTAGGGAGCAGGTATCCAAAAGAAGTCAGCTGCTGAGAGAGTCCATTGTGAATAAAGAAAGCATTTCTCTTCATGGTCACTCACAATGTCTCAGGGACCATAGCAGGTTCTTGGGATCCCTCTACTAAAAAACACTGTCTTGTGCAATACGCCTGTAAGTAACTGAAACAACGCGGTAAATTCTATACAGGATGCTACTGGAGAACCTAAGATCCATTTACCTATTAGAGCTTCATTTCCAGGCAGAAGGGAGATCGCAGGGATTGGGCAGAGAACTGGACTGTGAGAGTGGCGGAGCAGAAAAGGTCAGCGAGGGCTTCAGAGGTTGCACGCTGTCGGCGCTGAAGGGCCAATGGCATCTGACTTGCTCACCAGAAAGCTGGCTCTGGCAGTGGTGGGTGAATCGAGGCCACACTGAGGGCACTGCTGACAAGTTAGGAAGCAATCTCTGAGCAAAATGTGATGAGGCAGTAAATTACAGAGGAACTGGCTAAAGACACACTGAGAAGGTAGAAGTCGCCAGACTTGGAAACCGAGGTCATCTGGTGCATGAGAAAATGGGCCAACGCAAGATGTCTCCCAAGTTTCACACTTGGGTGACTAGGTGGCTGAGGTCCAATGAAAATACAGGAGGAGAAACTGGCTCTTGGGGGAAAGATGGTTCTCATTTTAAAGGTGTTGACTTTGAAATGCCTTTGGGACATCCAAGTGTACATGCCCCATAAACCATTTGATATATGACACACGAGTAGTTTGGACTAGGGGCATGGATTAGGAGCCAACAGCCCACAGTTGACATGAGGTAAATAAGGAAGATCATGCAGATGTCAAATGGGACGATAGATGAAAGTGCCCATGAGCTGTACCAAGTAGGAGGACCCTGTGAAATTTGATAGAGCGGGATTGTTCTATAATTACTGCTGACTACACGGGCCATGTTCTACCATTGCTGGTGACTATGCTGGCCCTCACTGCCATACCAAAGCCACTTCACTGGACCTGGCCTCATGCAATGGGAGCACTGTCTTCACTTTACAGATGTGATGAGTGAAGTGTAGAGAGGTCAAGTATCTCGGTAAAGGTGGACAGCTGATCTGTAGACCCTATGAACCATGTGTTCCAAAAGTCCATGCTCTTAACCTTGCCTCAATACTCTCTCCCTTACAACAGTAAAACAGTTTGACTTTTCAATGCACCTTATAGCTGTTAGTGATCTCACTTTGGTCCAACAACCACCATACCTACAGTTGACACTTAGAGAACAACCCCCACCACTGTCCCCTCTTCTTGAGATCTCCATCAAACCCCACATTACTTTTCACAAACAAGCAATGTGACTGCAGCAGCTACCCCGCCCAGCAGTTGAAGATTTATGGCACTTCCTCTACCTGAATACTGATCTACACTTATTCTGGATTCAAACAATATTGACCTGCCTATTCCATCCTTCCAAGCTCTTTGGCTCTTTCTTCATTTCAGCCCCAGCCCAGACATGCAGTTGTTCCATAGCAAATTCAGTCTGTTGCATCGGGTGCCAGCAGAGGACTTCCCTGCTGAAAGTCAAATAACCATGTCCTGGGAACACTCTTGGGTTTTTTCATGGTCTGTTACCATAGTTATAGCAGAAACAACTCTAGTAAACTATAGATTTTTTTATTGCCACAAATAGAAAGATCATGATTTACAGACAAAGTTTAAAAGGTTCGCCTAGCTATTCATATAGGAAACAAGAAGAAAATATTTAGCAAGAGACATTTCTTTTGCTTTCTCTTTCATAGTTAACTATGACCTTGGAAAAGGCCAGGTGAGTCTCCATCAGCCCTAATCTTTGGAATCCTAGAATGGGGGGTGGGGTTCTGCCACCCCCATGGCTCATCTCACACATGTAAAAGAGTGCGGCTGCCTAGAGCAGGACACCTGCCTTGTTAGGTGTATTGGAAGAAGAAGCACATGACCGAAGACTCCGAATTTCTAGGCTTGCTTATTCCTTCTAAGTCTTTAAACAGTCTAACTCACACTTCAGCTGCTTCTTTCCCAATCTTCAAATAATAACACAGTAGACTCAGGAATTACCTAGGGCATTCTATGGGCATAAAATCTAGCTGCTCTGGAAAATGGGGCAGAAGAAGGAGGGGTGCGGTTTCTCCATCCCCTTCCCTTCTTCCTTAAATAGGGTTAACTCCAGAGGTCCCCCCAGACACAAGGAGAACTAAATTTTGGTCCAGGATATTTTCTGGGCTTAAAACATAATACATAATTGCCTCTGCTATAACCAAATTAGGTATTAGTTGTTTAAAAAGGAAAAAATGATATCTGTAAGGTAACCTTTTTTTAAATATTGAAATGCAGCTATACTCACAGACCCTGAAGAGGTATCCAGATTATTAAGCTCTGTGACATATTTAGAGGACATCTGTATCCTTGATTCAAAACATAGTTTATGGTAATACTTGTTTTTTCAATTTGTTTGTTTGTTTTTAAAATTTAATTTTAATTGAGATCTAATTGACATATAACATTGAATTAGTTTTAAGTGTACAATATAATCATTCGATATATGTATATATTGAGAAATGGCCACCACAGTAGGTATATTTAATATCCATCACCACACATAGTTACAATTTTTTTTCTTGTGATGAGAACTTTTTTCCTACTCTCTTAGCCACTTTCAAATGTACAATACAGTACTGTTAACTACAATAATTGTAAACTCAACAGAACTTGGCATTTACACCCTTGCTTAAAAGTAAAGTTCAAGCTGGATAAACAGAAGAGGAGCAGATCTGGCCCTGGAGTACCATGAAAACTCCTGCCCTGTGGTTTGAGGTCCCAGCAAGGGCTAAACGTGTGTGCTGACCAACTGTATCAACTTTAGCACTGCAAGTCCCACAGCCCAAGAAAGCACACTGGACACACAGTCACCCTGTAAAAGGAGCCAGGCAGTTGGGCAGCATGTTTGGGAGGCATGCAGGACAAGAAGACAAGGCTATCAGTCAGGACCTTCTAGAAGGTCCCTTAACAAAAGGCAACCAGATACTCCATGACTAGTAATGGGAAGAGAGTTCTCTGTGAATAGGAGACATTTGTCCCCAAAGAGTCACATTCCCTTAAAAGATGTTCAAAATTACGTTGCTACCTGTTCCTAGAAAAGGAAGGAGGAAGGGCAGGAAGGGCAAGGAAGGAGGTAGGAGAGGCAATGGGCCTTGGGCCCTAACCTTCTCTGCACAGTCTCAGTGGGAATGCCAAGAATGCAAGACCCTGACCGTCTTTTATTTGGGCCATTTCTTAGGGTTGCATTTGCAGCCAGCAGCCTTGAGGAATGAGAGAACACATTCCCCTGGACAAGGCAGGCTTGCTTCTGCTTGCTCCAGGGTAGCCCCCAAGCTCAAGGCTCCCCTCCCGTAATGCAGTTCAATGCTTGTGCAGGCAGCTCCAAGGGACTCTGCATCACACTGTGGGGCCTAGGGGGCATGGGGAACGGGAACTAAGTCATACTGGCACTGCCGGCTCTTTTTGCCATGCGTAACAACATCCGTTGTCTCTGACTCTCTCCCCAGCATCCATGAAGCAGTAGGAGGCTAACTTGTTAGCTTGGATGCAGGGCAAAATCCTAGACCCCACAGAGTTCCTGACAGCCCTCCACCCCACCCCCAGTTTTAACATTGTGTCCCAGATACTAGCTTCCCTCACGCTCTACAATATATATGTGGGCCAAACCCTTGGCTTTTAAACAGATCCTCCCTCAAGTCTAAAGGCTAATAAAGGGAAATAAGTACAAGGGATAACATGAAACTGTGCCAGATGTGGTTGGTAGCCACTCAGCATGCAGTCCTGAGTTTTCTATTCTTTCTTGAATGGCAGAATATGGACAGCTAAAGACAAACAAACAAACTAAAATAAAAAAGAACTGCATTTCCAGACTGCCTTGCAGACCAGGATAAGAACTGATGCACCCTTGTGAGTTTTGGAGGGTGGAACGGGGCACAGGCTGTCTTTTTTGGCTGTCTTATGCCAGCAAATTAATAGTTCCTTCCCTTACTCTTATTCTTATTCCACATAATTTGACTATTTTTTTTCCTGTCTCCTCCATTCTAGTTTTCTGGAAAAATAAGAGCATTTCTCCTCCCATCTCAAACATGCTTTTAGAATCAAAATTGTTATACAAGTCATCAGAGTGTACTATGAGTTTTTAAGCTTTTATTCAAGGACTATTATGGACTAAATTGTGTCCTCTCCAAAATTCATATGTTGAAGCCCTAAACCCAGTACCTCAGAATGTGACCGTGTTTGCTAATAGGACCTATAAAGAGGTAAGTTAAATTGAGGTAATTAAGGTGGGCTCTAACCCAATATTAATTATAGCAGGAGATTGGGAGGACCATGTGGGGACTCAGGCAGAACATAGATGGCCCATCTACAAGCCAAGGAGAGAAGCCCCAGGCAACACCAACCCTCCTGATACCTTGATCTCTGACTTTCAGCCTCCAAAACTGTGAGAATATAATTCAGCCGTCTACACCACCCAGTCTGTGCTACTTTGTTATGACACCCCTAGCAAACTACTACAAATATTGATTTTTTTTAAAAAAAGGTCCAATATTGTTAAATAAACACTGATTTTGAAATTGATTCTTAAAGAATTTTCAGGATTGTAAACACCCTGACAATAAGAAAAAGTAATTAAAATTCTTCGTGTTTCACTTCTCAGAGTCAATTGGAAGGAACTGACCTAAAGAAAAAGAAAAAAAAACCATGGTGCCTTGTTAATCACAGAAAATGGTATCTTAAGAGTCCATTTTTTTTAAAATTTTATTTATCTTGAAGAGAGGGAAAGGGAGGGAGGAAGGGAGGGAGACAAA